CATAACAAACTTGAATCTACACTGCCTGACAATGCTTCCTTATAAATATGACCATCATGACTTTGCTTAATTTGAACAAACTTGAATCTACACTACCTGAAGACGCTTCTATAAATATGACTAATTATTAGCTTGCTGTTCTTGAGGAGGAGATTTTTAAAGATGTTTTTAATGTATTTCTATGTAAAACTTTGATTGTCGATTGTGGCTCTGCCCTGCCCGCAGGGGTCATAATATAAACAATCTTGAATCTACAACACTGCCTAACAATGCTTCCATACAAACATGAGCAATCAAGGATTTGCTGTTCTTGAGGATAAGATTTCTAAGATGTTTCCTATGTATTTCTATGTTAAACTTTGATCGTCCATTGTGGCACTGCCCTACCCCAGGAGGTCATGATTTGAACAAACTTGAATCTAACAGCCTGACAATTCTTCCGTTCAAATATGAGCAATCATGGGTTTGCTGTTCTTGAGGAGTAGATTTTTAAGGATGTTTCCTATGTATTCCTATGTTAAACTTTGATCGTCCACTCTGGCCCTGCCCTAACCCCGGGGGTTACAAATATAAGCAATCATGGATTTGCTGTTCTTCAGGAGAAGATTTTTAAAGATGTTGCCTATGTTAAACTTTGATCGTCCATTGTGGCCCTGCCCTACCCCTGGGGGTCATGAATTTAATCCCCAATGAATATTTCTGCTTTTACAGTATTTGTAATAAAACAGTCAGAAATGTAAATATATAATTAATATGGTATCATTTTAAAACTTTTATTGGGATGTAAATATGGGTTGGCACATGATTAAATCTACAATAAAGACCTTTGGGCTTCATGGGATTTGATCACATGACCTACCCATATTTACATACCGAAAAAAGTTTTAAAATGATACCTTATTTCTTAAATAAACACGTTATACAGAGAAGATCATGTAAACCTACCAAACAGATAGAAGATAGACTGCCACTTGTATCCAGCAGAAAACAGACCCCCAGATATCAGCATAGCAAAGACAGTACCAATATAGGAACCTATAAAAGAAGCAGTAGTGATTGTACATACATGGATTATTCATTTAAGCAAAGTAAGACATAATAAGCTATAAAGGACAAAGTATGGTAACAGCCTTATTTAATATGAAAAAAACAATGCTTGTTTTTAAACCTGGCCAGCATTGATTTTAATTCAAAAATATATGTACATGGAGGCCACAAATAAAATCATTTTATTTCAATTTCCTCAGTTCTGATGGAATTTTGTCAAATTTGAGATACTTTTCATTTCAGAAACACAGGGTGCAAGCTTGCCTATCAAGATTCTCATACAAAAGATACATTTCATACTAGTGCATAAAATACTATTAAGAAAACATACCTTTTTCCCAAGGGGTCATTGTTCCGGGAATATTATAAATTCTGTTCAATCCAGGAGTAGAAAATTACACCAATTTCTTGGATTGACATTATATGTCCTTATTGTATTTTAAGTCTGATGTGGCAAATTTCTGTAGATAAATTGTTATCATGTACATAGCATAAATTAATCTCAAGTGGAAAAAGTATGTCTACAGTATGTAATTATTGCTAGATATAAGCAAGCTTTCACCCTGTGTAAATTGAAAAAAAATTGTCTTAAATTTGAAAATTGACAAATTTTGTGACGTTGTGCAGACCAGACCTTGTACTATGGTCAAACGGCTCACCGTAGTATTTTTTCCGGATTGATACACAGTACAAAATCTCAGTTTTTGGTTCTGTTCACTTTTTGATTGGAATGTTTTTCAGTCAGATTTGGCATTCATAAAAAACACATCACACAGCAATTATGAAATCTTAATAATAAGATTCTTCAAGAAAAATAGTTTATAGAAATTCATTCCAGTAAATTTCTTCTAGTCAACTTGTGCATTAATCAAGTAACAAGATCGACATAAAACAACTTGGAATTTTTTTCCTTTTGTCAAAATGTAGTGTATTGATTTGACCATGAAAATTGTATATTATATATCATATCATGAAGGAGGCAATTCATTTTACCCAGGGCTAGAAATAATTATTTTTGTTTACTGGTCACTCGGGCTATCGCCTTAAATTTTTACTGGTCAGCTTAGTACTTTCACTGTCCCACTGGGCCAGTAGATTTAAAAAAGACTGGCCCAAAACTATAATAATGATAGTATTATTTTTTTTTATATTGTGATACTTAGAAGTACAATTTAACAAAACAAGAAACAGCAGAAGTTGGGACACACAACCCTGTCAAGTTAACTAGCCGGACTGTGAAAGAATTTTATTATGCATAAAAAATGCTGACCCAAAGGGCACATGCCTTCTGCAATGTACTAGCCCGTATTGAAAATTCACTGGCCCCAGACCAGCGGGCCATCAATTATTTCGAGCCCTGTTTACCCCTAGTATCCTATCCCTTAAAGGGGTCTTAACCTATCTTGGCCTTTACTGCAAGTCAATCAGTATGCTAAATTAGAATGGTGATTTAAATTACTGTACTATAAATTTTTATGTAACATGACAAACTGAGAAATTGACATTCAAACCTGAAAATGCAAAAGCTACCAATCTGGTCTTCTCCAGGGGAGGTGCCCATTTGGCCCAAATGGCATGGATGGAGGGATAAGTAACTCCCTTAAAAAATAAAATATTACAATTATAGTAGACTCATTCTAAAAACAAACTCAGGAAATTTTACATTGAAATACTGAATTTTTAAATTGTAATACTTATTTTAATTTTTCAAAATCATAATGAGTAAAGTAGATCCACTAAAAATGTCTGTACACTTTCTGCATTGGACATATTTAGAGCAAACATTAAGTCATCTCCTCCTATAAACCATCCTTCCCTATACAGATACTGTTATGCATTTTTGTGGTTCTTATCACAGATTTGCTTAAATTGAGCTATGCATTTGACAAGTCTGACCTCACAGAATCCCTCTAGAACACGAACAGTGACCAGAAGAGCAATGTTCTGTTGAGCACAGAATGGTGTAAGGATTGTTAATACTGCAGTTATAAATATCCCTCCACCAAACAAAAACTTCCCTCCAAATCGATTGGCAAGAAAACCTGAGAAAATATGCAAACATAGAAATAATTTCTTAACTAATTTTTTCATACTTTGATTTCCTATTTTTTGGTTAGTCTGTCTACTTGCAATAAAATTATATTCTGCATGTTTCAAAAATATTTCTGGTAGCTTACTTTACTACTTTAAACCATGTTCAATCTAGAGAACAAAGCTACTATCCTGCAGCTATGAATTTTATTTGTTATACCTCCTGGTAGTTGAGTGAAGATATAACCATAAAAGAAAGCTCCAAGAATGAGTCCCTGCTGTTTACTGCTCCAGTCAAAGCCTGGCTCAATCAGCTGAAACATTCACTCAAGTTTTACTCATTACGTCAACAAAAATCTGTCAAAGTTGAGCAACTCTAATTAAAAATATATCTCAACAAAGAAAGCAAAAATGATTTTGTTTTCTCTGCAAACCAAATGATCCTTTGTTAATGATTATTGGTTTCTTATTTTCTATTAAATTAATTAATATACTTGATTTTCATCATGCTTTATTTCAGAGTTATTTTCTTTAAGGATTTTTACTTACTGTGGTAGACTCATTAGTAATGTTGTATTTTGCCACCATACCAACAATAGCTATACTCAAGTTTGCTCTTAATGCATAAATATTACCTTTAAAAAAAACAAACAAAAATTACTGTTGTTCTTTAAGCAAAATTAAAACAAATAAGCCATCATGATATTATAATTCTTCCATATATAAATAAACCTAATAACTTAACATATTTTTTGAAGTCAAATCAGAGAATCAGAAGACCTCACGACAAGAGGAAGCAATGTTTTAGGACAAATACCAGTTACCATTGCATTCATGTAATCAACTAACCTCTTGTTATAAACAAGAAAAAAATTATTAAGAGCCAAACTTTGGTCTATTTTATTGATATTCTGTGTGTTGTACAATAAGATGTTTGCAACTGGCTACATACATGTATGAATCAATCATAAATAAAATACATTAGATTTGTTAAAACTTGCTTACAGAATCCAAAGAAAGCCATGATGCCCACAATGTATCGTTTTGGGAATCTACCCAACAGTGATAGCCTTCTGTTGCATAGGTCATGGTGTTCTTCAGCTGAGTGAAAGGATTCTGCAATTGGCTGTCTCTCTCCAAAACTCTCTGGCATGATTGTAATTTCTGGTCTGGATACGCTCTGTAAAATAATTTTCTACTGCACATATGTTTATCCCAGTATTTGAAGTTAGAAGTGTGATACCTGATTTTTTTCGGGGAGAGGGGGGTCTTCAAAACATAAATGAAACTAGTTATTTATCAGAAATGAGATTTGTGCTGAAAATAGATATTTCTCTTTAAAAGAGCGAATACTCCAAAAGGTAAACTACCGACACTAACCAAAAAGATAACACAGAGACTTTCAAATTATTTAAAGGCATGAAAAATACGTATCATCAGAGAGTTGTCAAAATCGGCATGCATGACTGCATCATCAATATCAAAAAACTCATGTAAAAAATTAGATTTTCTTGTAGAAAAAATACATACAAACTCAAATAAACACACTGCTTAGATGCAATCTAAATATTATCATTCCCGTGAACTAGATGAACAAAAAACACTTGTTTGGATGCACCATATGGTCGCACATGTAACCCTTCCCTCCATCTTTGTTTACGTTTTTTCATCCAATCGACAAATAGAACAAGGCTTTTAATTGGTTGATTTTTCTGCATAGACTGTAGCTCATTGTCTAACTTTTCGATTAGAAATTAATATTTTGATAATAATATGAATGAAAATGAATATATCATATAATTTCAACCATGAACTTCTAAAAATTATTTTTAAAACGCAAATGATTGATCTTTCTAGAGGATAATTATGTTAAATATTATCATATTTTATGAGAGAAATCAGCCAATCAAAAGTTCCGATATTTCTCATGACATCACTTTGTCGGGCTCAGTAATCTGTGACTTCCACTGAGAAAGGAATAATAAGCGGACAATCCTCGTTTTTGTTTCCAAGATGGGGCAGCTAACGCTTCCATCGGTGCTAGCCTGCGTCTGTGTGTTTGTCCAGATCAGTGTTGGATATATAGAGGTGAATATTATCGAGTTTTAACACAAATATATTGTTGCCATATTTTCTTATTGCATTGAATGTGTCTCGAAGAATGTCAGACACCTCGGCCCAACGACACCTCGGCCCAACGACATCTCGGCCCATTGACACCTCGGCCCCAACGGGTCGGCCCAAGATTTGAGACACCTCGGCTCACGAAAAAGACACCTCGGCACAAACAAAAATGTATTATTTTAAACATATTTATTTAATACATTCTGAAGTATTTTATCATTATAGGGACTAAATACGACGGATTATATTATTATATATCCATGAAATAAAAAAGAAAATAAATGAATAATCTTCCGAGAGTAAATATTGACGGTAATTAAAAAAAAATGTCCATCCCAAAGTGCTAATCGTTTAACAAACAAGAAGACACGGCGCATCCTTTGGCGTCTCAAGCGCGTGTCATATGGGGTGGTGACAATAAGGAGTTAATTACGAGCAGGCTAAATTAATCCAATTGTTGGGTACAAACCACATATCTACCTTGGTTGGTTTAGGGAAATATATCCATTATGCTCTAATATTACGCAACGAAGATCTATCAGGTTAACGTAATGTCTATCTGTGAGGTTAATATGTGTACAAACCGTTCACGGTAGCTCAGTCGGTAGAGCGCTCGCTCCTTGATCGGGAGGTCGTGAGTTCGAATCTCGGCCGCGACAGACCTAAGTCGATAAAAAATAGGTAGCAACTGTTCCTTCGCCATGCGCTCGGCACTTTGAAGTGAAAGTTGCGGGTCCTTCGGATGAGACCTTAAAAACCGAGGCCCCGTGTCACGGCAGGCGTTGGCACGATAAAGATCCCTCACTGCTCAATGGCCCTGAGTGCCGAGTAAAGGTCAAAATTTGAAGCCCTTCACCGGTATATGGTGACGTCTCTATATGAGTGAAAAATTCTCGAATGGGACGTAAAACAATATACAATCAATCAATCAATATGTGTACAATACGCCCCTACTACAAAGCGATTTTTAAGTAAAAGAATTCTTATCATTATGAAATGAATAAAGTTGCATTTCATAAGCAACAAAATAAATAAATAGACCTTCTATCTCCCACTCAATAGATACAGCAGCTGACATAGATCTATATGTCATTAATCTATTTTGAAATTATTTGCCCCTGTTTATCGTATACATATCGTCATTATAAACATACATATATTTATATTACCAAAGTGAATACAGATAATAATTCTGAAAAAAAAATTCCTTGGGCCGAGGTGTCTTCAGTATGGGCCGAGGTGTCAATAATTTTGGGCCGACCTGTCAGGGCCGAGGTGTCAAACGTGACGGGCCGAGGTGTCGTTGGGCCGAGGTGTCTGTCTACCGTCTCGAATTGGAATGTGTCGTCCATGTTGAATATATTTATAGTCTGTCATCACCATGCAATGTCACCAGTCTTTCTTTAATGTTAGTAGATTTTTGTCACCAACGTAACGAAGAATAAAAACAAATTAAAAATGCGCTGCGATGAAGATGATGAATAGTTCTGTCATCTTTGAATCACAGAGGCCAAGTCGTGAAAGAAGGGGGGGGGGGGGGGAGGGTTATTGATATGAAAGGTACCATTATCATGATTATCAGCTGTTTATGTTTTTAACAAAAATATTTGAATTAGAAAGTTATATACATATCAGGACAGAACATGTTGGGACAGTTGAGTTTGTACAAGAAGTATTAAAAGGAAGATGTAATTTTTAAGCAGGAAACCTAATGTCCAAATCATCATTGTGTAGTGGTTTGGTCAAAAGGGAACTAGGGGTATAAACCTGGGTAGCTCATTGCTTAGAGCAGGGATCGAGTATTTACATCTTTGTCCAGCTATACATTTTCTACTGTTCTGTTACATTTAGTGCAGTTGACTTCCTCTTAGATAGAATGTTCTATCGATTGTTAAAATGATAAATGTCCTACGGACCAGGTTTAACGATAGAATGCGTTCCGTGTACTGTCAGTGTAGCAAAGAAAATACGGGAGATAAATCTAGCTCAGTGCATTTATTATGAAAAGTCTTAAGAATTCCGAGTGTCAACATGGTGTGTAAATACTAAATTTGAAACGAGTAAAAAACGTTGGTGAAAAAGTGTTGAATTCTTCCATTATATGGATTAAATTTTTAAATGAAAGTTATTTACGGTCAGGGGCTAAGGTATTTGGGTTGTGTGTCTTTAAAGGCAAAGACAATTTAGGGAGGGAGGAATATAGTAGATTTGGCAATGTGGGCCTTTAATGTCAGCCTAGGTAGCTCAGTGATTAGAACACTTGACTAGTGATGGTCCTGAGTTTAATTTCATCCTTAAGTTCCTATTACAATAGAAAAAGGGATCATCCAGAAGACTGCTAAAACAAAGAAAGCCATTGGCTTTGGAATTAATGGCTTTTTTTTTTGACAGACGTTTTGGGGCAGGTAGATTTCCAATAAATTGTGTCAGATACTAAAGCTAGTTTTGGTCTCTGTGCTTGAATCTTTTCATGAAGAAGAACAGGGTTGTCACGCAGGGGCTGGGGAATTTCCTGTGTATAATGAGGTGATCCCCCAGTTATCCTGGTATTCCCCCTCAACCATCTGTTAGGGGAGGAACCCCAAACCCCCTTCTACTTTTTAAAGGTCCCATGCTATTTCATTTCTTAGGGAAAATCCTGGAAAAGACATAATTAAATCCTCAAATGACCTTCTCAAAGTTCTGAAGAAAAAAAAGGAACTTCAAGAATAATCTGAAAGTTGAGTTTCAAAAAAATAACCCTACCTACTAATCCTGATATATTTTATTGAACAAGTTTGGGAAAATAAAATTACAATATTGGTGGTCCAGGACCAGCAATGTATCATAATTATGTATGACTAATGAAATTAAGATGTGAAATTGCTAAAAATTATTTAATTATCATGGTTTGAAGAAAAAGTATATCACTTGATTTGAATTATGAATTTCGAGTAAGGCCACACCAATAAAAATTTTGTTCGTCGGACCCACGCGCTTGTATTTAAGCAAAATTATACAAATAATATTTATTTTAATTTCCCGCACCATGGAAATTCTGTGCTATTTCAGTCTATGCTAAAGACATCGGACTGTCGGACCTGACCGATGTGCAGTGCCTTTGGTCCGATGCATCATTTTTTACACCGGACCGGAATGTCCGATGTCTCAGTGTCCGATTTTGAGCTTTACTATTTTGACACGGAGTCATTTAAATGTTTGTTATAAGTAAAAAATATCGCACAAATCCAAGTACGTAACTGAATGTAATTAAAACCGCATGGAGTCCATGATCATGATGGACCGTCTAAAGTATTACGCGGGAGCGATCCCTGGTAAAAGAAAAGCTGTTACAGTTAGGCCTACTCAAGAGAATAAGGACTATGAGTCGAAACGACCTGCAAGAAGATTTAATACTGATTGGAAAAATGGCCGATCATGGCTTACTTATATAGTTAGGAGGTAGGCATGACTTGCACATTTTGTTCCAAATATGGTAAAAAATCAGTCTGACAAAATTTGGTTCGGTCCTGTGTATTCATTGACTACACAGGACCGAATGTCCTGTGTGGTGCAAAAAACTTTCGCATAGACTGCTATTTTCTATTCCATTTCCACTCCATTTTTCATATTTTAAATGTGCTTTCTCTGCAAATCAGAAAAAATATAATTGTCTGCTCAAATTTTTTCATGCTCTGCCTAAAAATTTTGCCTACAAAAAAGTAATAATATTGTTATTATTTAACTGCTTGCCCACTCGTACTTTTTTTCATCAAATGTCCGACGAACAAGAAATTAAATTAGTGTGGCCTAATGAAATAATTTAGTAGAAAGAATGTCGTAAGAAATATCCAACATTTTTTTATTTTTGAAAAGGGGGAGGGGGATCATCTGAAACAAAGATTAATAACCAAACAAGGTAAAATGCTACAGTCAATGCTCTATTTCCCTTATTTTTGTAAACATTTTTTTTATGAAACACTGTGAGAACCATTACTTATTCTGCTTGTAACTGTAGGACAGAAAAAATGTACATTTATAAGCCAAACAATGAGATTGCCTGGTCAGCCCTCAGTGTAATGGTAGATCATAACAGAGATTTACTGCTTGGAAAGCCCCATAAACAGCTGTTATCACTCCATTATCCTGTAAATGATTGGTTAATGTGAGATAAAGGGTATAGCTAAGTAAGACAGGTTAAAAATACTTAACATGTTGATGAAGAATATGTTCTGTTGCTTGATTTGACACTGTTGACACACCCGTTTTGTTGTAAGTGATAAAAAGCTTATAGATTAGATTAGTAAGATTACTTATAGCTACTTACAAATTCGACTATTTACAGTTTTTCCAGAAATATTTTCTTTCTTACATCTTTCTGCTGACCAATGAAAAAATTCAACCTTTTAAGGTTACTTTATTAATTGTTTTGGGTTTGTGTGGTTTTTATGACTTTGAAAGTTGAAGATCCAAATTAGTTAATTTTATATAAAAGAATTTCAATCTCTGAAATTCTTAATTAGCCCAAATATCAAAGAATGACGAGAGATAATGCAAAACAGAGACCCTTCTACATTTCATTTACTGTATATCAGGGCTTTCTACAAGATTTAAAAAAAAGAAAAAAAAGAAAACATGCAATATGTTTTCAAAAAAAATAAGAGGTACCTCTTGGAAGCAATTTTAATTATATATGTTATCAAATTTATCTCCATCAAATATTTTGGCTGGTACAATCATGATTTCAGCCGGATAAAAGTACTGGGCACTAGCAGATTTTGAAAGGCCTGATATATCGAAAACAAGTTTTGTGTAATCTTGTGGAATTAATACATTTTCACTCTATGCTGATTGTAGATGTACATGTATAGAATTTACACAGTGCCAATAAGGTTAGTTTACTTGACGTGTGAAATTCTTCATCAGAACCAATCAAATACCCTTAAAGAGTTAGGAGTTAGGAGAAGTCTATGGAGGTCTTTGATGTGGATTGAAGCAGTTTATTGTGAGGAATGCAGGTGTCTTATCAGATTTATATCCACCATGTCACATTACAAAGAGGCTTTCATACCCTAGTTATTTTGGTGAATAGAGCAAGCATATCTTGTCCTCACCTTTATGGACCTATTGAGGGTTCATTGTGTTTGCTTACAATGCAGTACTTTCACATGCTAGTTAAGATTTACTTTTAGGAAGAGATTATTACATATATATTAACAATCAACTTGCACACTGTAATTTATAATATTGTATGTGATTGTGGTAGGTGCTCCAGAGAGGCTGTATACTTGGATATGTTACATTTTCTCACTGTGCAGCACAAAGGCCTTAAGTTACTTGAAAGAAAAATGAGTTTTCTGCATCGAATAGACATACAACTCTAAATTGAAGCTTCATTTATAAACTGTGTATTTTCTGGGATTTCAATATCATGATATGCTTATCAGGGATTAGAATTAACCCTTTAAAATTTAGCAGCAAAACGGGCTACTTACTTTCAAATTTCACTATCCCAGAATATTTACTAGCCCATATAAAAAAGATCACTTATTGCCACATGAAGTTAATGCACGCTGATATGCGGCTTAACAGAAAACACATTACACCGTATAAATATAAGTACAGCACTGTACCTAGATTTACCATATAAAATTCCGTTATTTTATTTACATAATGCGTCTTGTTAAAAAAAAATTGTGTAGACATCTGTTGGTTGTATTTTTGTATTATTTCATCTAAATAAGAAACAATAACCATGATTTCAGTGGGAAAAAACTATGTTTATTAATGATATTACAACTGTGGACATTGAGGAAATTCTGGTCTCCCACCAGGCTAGTGCCCTATGAAGTTATTGTCACCTGTATGAGTATTAATATTAATATTTGCCCTGAGTGAGTTGTTGACTGTTAATTTTAATCCCTGTTAATGATGATTATATACTTTTTAATTTTATTTGATGTTTGGATTCAAACCATGTATATTGTGTATCTTACAGTCCCTGAAACGTTCTACTTTCCCATTTTTCCGTTCGCTCACCGTTCGTTCACCGTTCGTTCAGCGTGCGTTCACCGTTCGTTCACCGTGCGTTCACCGTTCGCTCTCCGTTCACAGTTTTGCGTTCACCGTTCACCGTGCGCTCGCGTTCACCGTTCACAAAGCGTTCAGCGTTCGCTCTTCGTTCCGTTCACTTTGCGTTCACCTTTCGTTCAGCGTTCACCTATCGTTCAGTTTTCATTGTCATTCGGAACTCCGAAGTGAAAGGACTTATCTTTTTGTAGGGAAGGAGTTACAGGTTTTTTAATTTAATAACTAACATATAGTGTTTGAAGAATCATTATTTCATGTTGAAAAATATCTACGATATATATTTTTATTATTCTAACTTAGCTGTTAGGTTATTTATTAAATTACTCTGGAAAATAAATGTTGTTATAAGCACTTTCTGTACCTATGTAGAACGATGCTGAAATATTAAATTTAACTAAGGGCAATGTGCAAATACTTCAAGCACTGCAACATTTTGTTGTTTTGTTAAAGACGACAAATCGTTAATGGTGATATAATTATCCAAGTCAAATAATTACGCAGCAAAATTACGAAAATATTTATTTCTAACACGTTTTTTTTTTTCAATTACTGCAGAAAATATGACAGAACTAGTTCTGGAGTTACACATAGTATTGCGGATATCCTGTTAATTTATTATCTTTGGAGCGAATTAAATTGATAGTGTGGTTAAAGGAAATATTTATTTGAAATGTACTGCACTACAGAATTTTCTCTACTATAATATGTAAAGTCTATAGTTATAGAGAAAATAATCTGTCTTCACCGTAACTTTATATGTTTGCCATTCGATATGATTAATACCCCCCCCCCCCTTTTCCCCCTAGATTGGTTACTTAGTCAGTACTGTATTTCCAGAATATTTTAATTTACATTTTTTTTAAAAAGAGTTAAGGTCTTTTTTAGAACAAAAATTTCAGTCTCAAAACAAACATGCATCTAAAAAAGTCACAAAACAATAGTTGTTCAAAATGTACACGTGTCGGCGGTGGTATTTGAAATTGGCAGAGAGTATGTTTCAAATTCAAGTGTTAATGCCCAATGTATTTCATTCATTTATTATTCAAATGTTGGGATCAAATCTAGAAATATAAAAATAAATGTTATAACTTGTTGGAAATACTCGCACTTCGTCTTCGATGTGACGAAACTTTCACACCTGCACAGTGTCGAATGATTTTGATTGACAGGACAAGCACGTGGACTTCGTGTGAACTTGAAGCAGGAAAATAAAAACGAGTATGACTGTCAAACAAATGGATATGATTTGTTGATAAAAAAAAAAGTTACTTTCACTGTCTGATATATTTAGAAAAGTATTTCAGAGGTTTTGTTTGATATAGGTACAAAAATTTAGTGAAGCCTGAAAGAAGTGGGGAGGGGGGGGCTAAAATGGAATATTTCTCTCTCTCTCTTTCTCTCTCTCTCTCATTTGTTCTGTTCAATAAAAACTATAACAGCACATTTCTTAAATATCAAGTTCTGAAAATTGAATTTATAACAAATAATATGAATATGTATCTTTGTATTATCTTGTCCGAGTGTAACCACGGCCATCTACATATACATGTAGAAGTCTGCTTAATAAATCATCTTGAAAAATAGAAATGACACATAATATATTATTGTATTAAAAATTTTAAATACGAGCATATAAATGCAAAACGTCCACTGACCTTTATAAATATTTTTTTTATTACTTTACACGAAATCGCCCTGACACGGAGATATATGAATGGATGTTACAACCGCTTTAGTTCATTCTATAAGTCAGAAGTTTTCTCTGATTTGTTTAAACTTCAGCGTTCGGCAACAATTGCAATGTTTTAATGCGATAAAAATCGTGCGATTAAAGACTTAATGTGCATGCATCGTCTTTCTTAGAACAATTTTGGAGAATTTATTTTATTGACTTATTTATTCATTCATTTATTGGTTCACTTATTTATTATTTATTTATTTATCTTTATTTTTTTTTTTTTTTTGGCACCTGACCTGAAAAGATCAGAGGCATTCCGAATATATCGTTCATCTTGCGTTCACCGTTCGTTCACCGTTCACTTTGCGTTCGCGTTTGCGCTCCGTTCGCGTTCTGCGTTCGCTCACCGTTCACCGTTCACACATCGTTCACCAAGTTGCGTTCAGCGTTCACACATCGTTCACTCACCGTTCGCTCTGCGTTCGTTCAGCGTTCGTTCACCGTTCGTTCAGCGTTCGCTCACCGTTCAAGTGGGAAAGTAGAACGTTTCAGGGACTGTAATTGTCAGAAACCCTGTAAATATGAATATATGATTTTGTATGAATTTGTAATGTATATTGCTGATTTATTGGTTTATTCGGATCTCTTATTCAATACCGAATTTTTTTCAGTCCCTGGCAGCAAACACAGACTTTCAGCGTCATGACTATAAGTTTGTTCCAATGGTTGCCTTTATGTGTAACAAGCCCACCATGCACACATCTCCGGTAGGCTGGCAGGCCGACTCTAAACAAGACTGTCTCCATGAGCCTAAGGAGATTCTTCAATACTGTCAAAAGGTAAATATTGCAAAGAAGAGTGCACAGTTATTGTCCATTCCCACTTTCCCGTACTTTCCCTCAATCATGTTCATGGACCCCTTCAATTCCTTGACTTCAATTCAACATGTTCAACATTATTATGTGTTTGAGAATAACAGACTTATTTATAATGAATGCAAAACGTAGCGGTATTTCAAAGTTAAGTTTTATAAATTTCAAAAGATAGACTTACACGTCATTTTTTCTAACCAAGAGCACTATGCATACATTATGAAGGTGTATTCCCAGGTGCACTGATTTAATCAGTTTTGTGGTATTTGTGGGGCACCAAATAAAGCTAGGGAAAACAAACAAAGGAGTAAGAGGAAATGGGACTAATATATTCTGTTTTGTCAGACTTGTGTAGTTAGATTTGCTTAATTTATTAACATTTTTATGTTAATTGATAGTTCTGATCATATGTCAGAAGTGAAAACATGGAAATAAGTAATAGTGGGGGTTTGTTTTGTTTTTGTTTTTTTTTTTTTTTTTGCACATTTATCTAGATATTGAGAATTTTCTGTTGGTCTAGACATATAAAATACAATACACTGATCATTAGTTGTTTAATTTAATGGCCAGTTCAATCTGGATTCAAACCAATTTAATGGACATGTAATGTAATGGAGTGCTTTTAACTTGTGTTATTCATTTACAATCAGTTTATGGTTCACAAAGTTTGTAAATCTAGAGGTACAAGTTCATGTAACAGTAATTAGTACATGCACCATATTCCTGCAGGAAGGCTAGAAATAATGAAATACTTCTTTAGAACCATAAAAGATATTAGATATGTATTGCATTATGCCTGATCTGACATTTGGGGACCAGTTTTAGCTGACTGGCACTGCCTCAACTTGATCATTGATATTGATTTTGCTATACTGATTGCAGTGAGACTGTATATTGGATAGACCTGCATACTGCTGCTCAGGTGGTCATGAATAAAGTATATTATATGAATAGGAATAACCTGGTATCATGTAGCAAGCCATGCCCTTTAATTTATTTGTACCTCATTGTGTGTGTGTTTTAGAGCATACCTAGATAATCTCAATACATTCATTTAAGGCATTGGGGGGGGGGGGGGGGGGGGGATAAATCAGTTGACTTATGTCTTGTCTAGACTGAGATGATTTTCACTTTATCATTGTATCAGATTATTTCAGTCATGATTTTTGATTTCACCAGTCATTTTTGTAATTCTTGATATCATGTGACATAGATCTATACCCTCAGAAAAAGCTGAGATTACTTAGAGCCTGATGGCATACACATAATAAGGCATATTGCTCATTGTTGGTTTAACAGATAAGAGACTCCAGTATATATATATAGATATATACTGAATATATAAATTTCAATGCATTACCCCCAGTAATGCTAGATGGTCAGTGTCATTAGAAAAATCAAATTGGCAAGAAAATTGTGTACAGTAAATTAGAGTTCACAAAGGATTGACATTACGTGTAAGGAATTAAATATGGTAGATGTCAAGGGAGTCATCGCAAATGTCTCCATGCATTCAATGTGCTCTGGACCAGTCGGATTGAGTGTATTATTCTGAAGGATAACAATATTAAGTGAAATATGCTTATGGGTAGTTAGAGACATGAGGAGAAATTTGTAAAATGTTTACAAAAGTATGCAAAGCTTTTTTATGCAAATCTTGATAACTTGGCTTACTATCTTTACAGCTGTACCCCAATATGACCATTACAAACATTGTTGAGGACCATGAAGTAACCATCAGAAACTGGCCAGATTCACATGGTCATCAGCATAACCACAAAGTACAGCCATACAGATGTGTTGGTATGCACTTATTTAACATCATGTCAGAAAATTAAAGTTGCAATTCTGCATGCCAAAATGAAGACGTAGTATTATGTCTTGTTTTCTTGTTTACACACTTCATAAGCATGATAAGTGGACGTACAATTTCAGCATTCAAAAACTGACCTACATTTATTAGCTATTAATATTTCTTCAAAATCTGACAACAAAATTTAAAATGGAGTACCCACTTGCAATTTGTGTGGATATGGTAATTTTAATGCCTAGTATTTGTTTACTACTGGTTTGTAAATGTATTAGGAAGTACTGGTTGGTTAAAAATGGAACATTAGTGCCAATTTGACATTGGAAGAGAAAACTTAGTCAACACCCACTTAACCCCCTTCCTTTTTGCAAACAATGAAAAAATCGAGCATTTTCTTGTTTGTAAGCCTGAAAATAAAAAAAAGTTGGCCTTAGAAATATTTGTTATGTATCAATTAATAATCACAGATGTTTTATAAACCATTTGATTTTGAATCAGTCAGTGACTGCCAGGATAATAGCACAGTATGTATTGTATTTTTTTTTTTTTTTTTTTTTGACATTGATAGTGGGTCCATTTGAGAGTGATGCTCTTTTAGTCCCTCAACATTGCCACTTCTATCATGAACACAATCAGTGTGACACATACAAGAAGTGGGGTGACTGGGCCACATCAGACTGTGTGGCCAAGGGAATGAGGATCGACAGCTTCTCCATGCTGCTGGACTGTGACATTGACAGGTTTGCTGGGGTGGAGTATGTCTGCTGTCCCAAGGAGAAAAGTAAGTCATCAATCGGCACAGCTGTCAGACATCTGCTGTGATCACCATGGTTCAGGTGATTATGGTGTGATGGTGAGGGTAAATTACTTTGTACATGTTGTAACCATTGCATTTGCATAAATGACTTGTTCCTACAGATTGACATGTGTATGTTCGGGAAACAAGATGCGCTTGATGGAATTCGTAATAGAGTTAGAAATCATTGAAGATTTTTTATGGAATGAAACACTTTTCCGTATTGCAGTATGTAGTGCAGAACTGATTCTTACATTTGCATGTAACTGAAAATAGAAAAAAAATTCTTTTTCATTACACTATTTGATTGGGAGGTTGATGAGAAAACTTGATTTTTTATTTATCACATTTTCAAGTACAATATGCCATCATCTCATAATGGAGAGAAAATTATAGAAAGATGTAAACTTGCAAGAATCTTATAGAACTTAAATTTTAAAGAGTGTCAATGATAATCAAATCTTTCACATTTTATTTTACACATTTTAATGCCATGGGTTGTCTCCAGGTAACATGTACACCTGTAGCACCTCAACTGCTACAGAGAGTGTGCAGATAAATTACACAATGTAACTCTTATTTCAATAATTAGTAAACAAAGCAACTCTTCATAATTGTGTATTTATCATGTTTATGATATTGATAGAAGCTGTTTTATGACTAAGAAATATTAGCTGGGACAAATTGGTATTAGTTTTCCTCCTTTTTTGATTTAGATTTAATTGTGCTTCAAAAATATAGCATAATAAATATTCAAATTAGATTGACATTACAGATATTAGACATTTTACCAATTAAGTTTAGTAGTGGAAAAAAGGGGGTGTCATTTTTTGTCCTATTCAGAGGATCCTTCTTTTGGGCCTAAATTACAGAAAGCTAAGATTGTAATGTATATGACACATCATGGGACTTTGTTCATAATACTCAAATTGTAAAATCGAAATGTAAAAAAAACAAAAAAAAAACAGATTATTTGACAAGGAAAACAGCTCATAAAACCTTAAACGATTGACAGGTACTTAATAATGGGAATTACAACTGCAAATGCACATTGTAAGCAGTATTTATAGTTAGGGGCTTAACTTCAGAGATCATTTGAGGCTAACTTCAATGATTACCAGATTTGCTAAATCCATTTCCTTGTTATTTTTGACACTTCATGTAGATAATGATTTTTCATGCATACTTAATTAGCCTATAAGGACAACAGAGTGTGGGTTGGAGAGGAAGTCATTTGGAAACTTAACATTGAATGTAATATTGGGAAAGCAGCTGTTTATGATATTTTGACAATCATGATTTTCAAATATACAAAATTCAGAAATAAGAAATTGTGCTACTGACATTCATTTTACATTGCTTTCCATACTGAATAGTTAGTTTGATATATACTTTCTCCTTGGTGTTTTGACCTTTTAGCAATCTTTTTGCTGTAAACAGAAAATGTTAATCTGTTAGTCATTTGTGATCAACTAAGGTTCATTAATGGATTCTTTATCTTTATGGATGAGAGTTTCTATTTACACAGAATTCACCATTATAGCAGTCAGTCAATAATTTGTACACCTTCAGAACCCTCAGATTGAAAAAAATCAATGGATAATGTGATGCTTCTACATGCAGAGTACAAATAGAAAGAATTATTTCTATTGTCTCTGAACTATGGGTAGAAACCAAACTCCAGGCTATTGTTTTGAGCCTCCATACTCATTATGAATTGATTAAAATTATTGAATTTATAGTAGCCTAATTACATTTTTACATTTTCTGTAGCTTTACACTAATGTGTGTGCAAACAGTCACTACAGACTAGGGTAATATTCATATGTAAATAATCTTACATGATAATTTGTGTTTTATTTGTTGATTTTTCTTGCTGATAAAAGCCATTATGGAAATTGTATCAGAGATAGGTAAATAAGTTATAGCCTACAAGAATTTGTTGGAAACAGACTGTGTGAAACAGTTGATGCTTTGGCATCTAGCCAGCCCTCTTTGATGCTAGCTCTATGAAGAGTTATAAAAATATTGATTTTATAACAGCCGGAAAATTAGGCATCAAAAAATTCTTCCACAAAGCAAATTCACCAGATAGCAAGTGCTCTAGAACTTATAATGTGGATATCTGATGAAGCATTCAGTGTTTCTTGGTTAACTGTTAGGTCAGAGAGGATTTCTCATTTCTTAAGTAAAAAGTGCACAGATGTCAGAAACAAAAAAATACTTGATACATGTATATTGTGTAAACTTACTGGCCCTGTACGATAAGATTTTTAGAACTAGTGTGACTGTGTTGTATTCATTAAAAAGCCTTTTAAGCCAGCTGCTGAATAGTCAATGACTTGGACTTGCAAGCTGTAAATACATATAATGTTGTACTCAAGGTCATCCATATGTACATGTACCAGTGCTAAATAAGTTTAATTAGTATACTCCGTATTGCAATTGTGCTCACTGTGCATATAAAGTACATGTAGACAGGGTCTGACTATAGGCCTATGTGCTGAATCACTGTATTGCAGCAAGTAATAGTCTACAGATAAATGAATCATCAGGAGTATTAATCATCCCACAATTCTACCCTAACGTTAGTCCATCACCATGAAATGGACTGGGATGAATGAACAGAATAGCAGGCTTGGAGAGGGGATCGATGAACATTCCATATTTCTTTTCATGTTACTTTTGTTAATACCCAAAAAACAATTGATTTAATTTAGCATTGTTCTTCAGTTAATAAATAGTGAATAAACCCAGAGCTGTGTGTGTGTATTGATCCATCCTACTGTAGAAAAAGGATGGATTATGCTGCAATTCCAGAACAGAACATAGTCCCTAATAGACATTCTGTTTCCAGCAATTACTTTACCAAAGGAAAGGATCAATATGCAGTGCAGAGGATATAAGTTATGCAAATTGGATACAAATTGTGGCAAACTCTTGTAATGGGTGATTTACTATAGTCTGTCAAGCAGACAGGTCTTTTTATGGTTATATTTCCATTAGTTTTCTGTCATGTTCCTATGTCAGAAAGAACCTTGATGCATTTAAATCAATAGATATGAGTACTAATGAAGGCAGCTGTATGTATAATGAACACTAATTCTGGGATAAAACCACAGTCTGTCCAATAGCATTTCATGACCAGATATTTACATCAGTCTGATTAACACAGAGCAGGGTCTAATACTCTATGTACTTTTGTTTTTTTATCATTAGAAATATTCAGAATTTTTAAATACCTTTCTGAAAAATAGCACAGGACATACAATGCAGAATTAAGACTCGGGATAGAAAGATTAAGAAGTAGGAGATCAGTTTCCTAAAGGCATTTTATGTTTCAAATCTATCTAGTAGACATAGTGTTAGTCATGTTAATTGGAAAAAGGAATAAATAATAGCCTTTATCTTAATGCAATTGTTCACTGAAACATTTCTTGTGATTTTCATCCATAATTTACATAATACCATTGATAAGAACTCGACTGAAGATAAAGATGCAAGGGTAGGATTCAAAAGCTGGTGTGATTGAAGCCTTAGAGAGGGGATGTTTTAACAATCACATGAATCATGGTCAGCTAAATTGTGTTCTTAATCAAAGGTATTTTAATGAAGGGAATGCACCTTACAAAAACAAATTTAATGCTTAAGGCAAAATCACACATACACTGAAGATTTAATGAGATTCAGCTGGTTATAGGTATAAGGCTACACCATCTATTCATGTTATGTTTGTGCATCATTTCTAATTTTTTAATTTCACTTTTCAGAGGCCATTGACAAAGCAGTCACATTAAAACCAGTGAAAGAGCAAACAGAGCACATCACAATAGATGACACATATGATGCATATATTGCATATCTCAGAGGTGATGAAAAATTTCTCAAAAAATTTGGCAATGAGCACAGCAAGTTTTTAGCTGCTATGAAGGCCATGAACATGCGCCACCACGGGAGAATTACCAAGGTGTTTAACTTTTGCTTCATTTACATTAATAAGTTTTACTTCTTTTTGATCATGTACTGTCTTGAAAGAGTAGGATGTAAGTGAATTTCACAGATACATATTATACTGTGAGAACAGGAAAGCGTAAGATTTTTGTTATTCAAAAACCTTGTGTAAGACATTAAATATAATGTAGATCACCAGATTTTTTAAGGCACACATATATATACATGTATTATGAGCTAGACGAAATTTTCATGAAGTTGTATATAATCCATACTAAAAAGATATATATATGCGAGAATGAAATTTTCGCAAGCATACCATCTCGCATAATTACACTCAAATATAAACTTCTCATGAATAAAAGGTATTTTACAGTAGTCAGGTTTTGGAAAGTTACCTTGGCAGATATATCTGTCAGGCATGTTACCATGCCATTAGATAGATGTATTTGACTCAGAAAGGCTTGTAAAGTGAAATTATCTCAAGGTTCCCTTAACAGTAATTAGTTATTGATTTGAATTTTAGATGATGAAAGAATGGCAGACAGCCAGGAAACATGTCAACAATATGAAGAAGACAAATCCCAAAGCTGCTGACAAACTCAACAAGAACATCCTACAGGTCTCTTAGGGTTTATTTTATTTTTCTTCACTTTTTGTGTGATATAGCACAGGGGGAGACATTGAAGAAAGTCAGGGTAGTCAATTTTAAGCAAAAATGATATGTATTGTAGCTAAGTTAATACACTGGTATTTTTAAAGTGGCAGTTTTAATCATTAGAGTTGTTCACTTACATTGTATTGGTACCTTTTGTACCACATTGCAAAATTGACTTCCATGAGTTTTGCAGAAGTATTATACAAATGTTAAAACAAAGTTGAGAAGGTTGAAGCTGAAGCATTCAAATCAGCAATTTTTTCTAACCACTGGGAAAGCGTCCGGTACAGGTTCGATTGGGAAAAATAGCATTGAAGTAGAACAAAGGAGGATTTTCTGTCATTTAAACAAATGAAACATATTTTGCATTTATTCCAACCTCATTACATATTACTCCGTGTTTTAATGAATAAACAACAAGTATTTACTGTTTTTCATATCAATGTCCCTTGTTTTCGCATTTTCATGCTGTCAATTTGTCAAAATGTATGACACTATGCTGTCTACACCACAGGTCCCGCCATATTACAACTAATCTCTACTTTCGATTTAAGTGGAAGTGAAACAATTAGTCAACTTGTACAATGTTTCATATAAAAAGAATACGATGTCATCATATTCTGTTGCTTGGCAGTGGAATTGGGAATTCTTAGTCTCAAAATAGGGAAAAATTAACGTTTTTTGGCAATGGGAATGGTACCATTTATCAGTACCAGTTATACAAGAAAAAAAAACACTGCAAATGCAGCAGAGCTGAAGTTTCTCCAAGAAAAAAAAAATAAACACTTTCCAAAATATTTTAGATGATAAGCTAACAGATGAATTCTTATGATTTAATTTAAAGCATACCAATTCTTATGTACAATGTACTTTACCATGTTGTTGAATTTGTTTTGTTTGTTGTCTGTTGTCAGCGATTCCAGAAGTTGTACAACAGCTACCAGCAGTCCGACGCTGCGGAGAAGAAGCAGTTAGTGGCTCTCCACCTCCAACACAGACAGGGAGAACTGAACAGTAAAAAGAGGAAGGAGTTAGAGGCCTACATGGGGGAACTCCAGAAGAGCCATGTCAAGGTTTGTTGATTGAGTCCTTTGAGATGATTTACAATAATAATTCCAATACATGTACTTAGACTTCCACCACTACGTAGAAAGTTTTGTTCAAATATACATTATTGTTTTTAAAATGTATGCTGTTCTCACTGTTGGACACGGTGAACTGCAAAGCATTCCTTAAGATGAATACACTTTCTGTGATGTGTTTTAACAATTTGATGTCACAGTTTGACATGTTCAGTCCTATAAGTAGGAACAGAATGGTAAAAATGGGAAAGCCATTGCTAAAGATTCAGTTGAAGAATTTCAGACATTTTATTCTTATATGAAATAGTATGATTTACAAGTCTTTACTGTTCACTTCCTTTATTTCATTTAGTCTGGTGCTGTGATGAAGCATTTAGAGCACTACATTCGTGTGGAAGAGAAGGATCGTTTACACTCACTGAATCATTTCACTCATGTTAAAAAGACAAACCCAGAGGAAGCCAAGCTTATCCAGTCACAGGTCATTGAACACATGAAGGTCATTGATGAGCGCATCAAGCAGAGTCTGGATATGCTTCATCACTTCCCCAAGGTGGAGAACAAACTGAAGCCACAGATAGGTAGGAGTAGAGACTGTATTCTGAGTGCAAGCTTGTAAAGAAGTCTAATGTGTAAATTATGGGTCAATTTTTTGATGACTGGCTTTAATATGAATGGAAATAATGAAGTTTGTACGTTGTTAGTTAATACAAAATAAATGTCAGAGTTTTAAGTTTATATTTTTTATTTAAAACTTGTAGATAAATTCATGAAGCACTACAGTGGTTTAGCAGAGAGTGCCAAGAACATTGTGATGAGACCCATAACTGTACAGGAGAAGAAAGAGTCCAATAAAGGTAACACTATTGTAGGGAGCATGCACAACACACAGGGTTCTGGGCAAAATGGGGAAAAATTACAGTACAATTGTTTATTATAATAATTAATTTGTCACACAAAAAATGAAAATGAGTGACTATTATCATGGTGAGTGTTAATCTCAAAGCAATATTTTGGGAAAGTGCCATGCTTGTATAGTCTCCTATGAATGTGTATTATGTTTTGAGGGTCTTTTTTTCAATGACAATGAAACAATAAATTTTATTTTTTCAAGGATTTAGTCATTCAACATACTTAGATACATGTATTACTTGATACCTTGCAAATTCAAGATTTTGGATTCCAAAAAGGCTAATATTACTTGTATGACACACTTTCACTTTTGATTCAAATGATCAGATTCTGGATGATTTTGTGGTCATGGCCAAGTAATTACACATTCAGTTACAATTTTTTTAGCCATGACAGTTAAGCATTTTAAATAGCAGACAATATTGTAATAAAATTATAAATTAATGTTAGGGTTTTTTCCCCATCTCAACGGAGTTATAGCTTGTGAGTGTGGAGGGGTGAGTGCGTGCATGTGTTACAGAAGTTACAAAATCAGTTATTTATATTGGAATCATCGTTCCGTTTTGCTAGGGGAATTCCTTCTTTGCAGTTCCCTTGTTATATTTTTAAAATAAATTATGTTGGGCATTAGAAATTTTTGTCCTTGACCTTGGAGTTTGACCTACTTTTGAAAAACTTTAACCTTGGCCATAACTTTTGAACAGTTGGTGCTTGGGGTTTCAAACTTCACATGTGTTTTCCTTGTGACAAGACCTTCCTCTGGATATCGACCTCTTTGACCTTGACCTAGGAGTTTGACCTACTTAGAGCTAGGACTTTCATACTTCACATATGTAATCCTTGTGACAAGACCTTCGTTTGGATACCAACCACTTTGACCTTTTGACCTTGACCTAGGAGTTTGACCTACATTTGAAAAACTTTAACCTTGGCCATAATTTTTGAATGGTTGGTGCTAGGGCTTTCATACTTCACATATGTAATCCTTGTGACAATTTTAAATTTAAATTTGAATTTAAAAAACTTTAACCTTCACCATAACTTTTGAACAGTTGCAGCTAGGGCTTTCAAATTTAACATTTTTTATCTTTTGGCCTGGATTTTGACTTGCATTTGAGAAACTTTAACCTTCACCATAAGCTGCCATACGGGGGCATCAGTGTTTCACAAACACATCTTGTTAACATCTGGATTAGAGCATTCTATATAAAATTTATAACATTTCATAGAACTTACAGAATGAGGTAAAAATTGCAAATTTTACAGAAAAATTGAGTGGTATCATGAGTGAATTAACATTATTATTGGATGACAAATGCTCAGATAAAAAATGTATTTTCTGCATTAGACTTGGGTAGAAATACGTTGTATTTTGAGGTTGTGCCGCCTGGTCAGGCCATTGCAACAATTCATTAAAAATAAAAACTCATGATTTATTGTTTATTCTATAGAAAGAAAAGATGATGCTAACTGAATGTGAAAAAAAAATATTGATGTACCTCAAGCGGATTTAATTTTATGGCACTAGTCCACAAACTTTTTGATAACCCCTCATATATATACATTATAAACATTTCAGATAGACAAGTATTTTTAAAGATTGTTTTGATGACCGTTGTATTTTTAGTGACCTGGAGTGACAAAGTGACCTTGGATGATGAGAACGATGATGGTGACCTGTCTGATCATCTGGAAGAAGTCAAGAAAACTCCGATTGTGGAAGATGATGGACTCAGTCCCCGAATTGAGCTTGACCAGCATGAGGAAAACAAGGTCTTCATCTCTCATCGTGAAAATGACCAAGCCAGTTTCAGTCGGGTAAGTAAATATTTGCTTCCTCTAAACAACCAAGCAAACATCCATCAGTAAGTGTGGATCTCTTCTATGGGATAAGGTACTGTAGATTCCTTATTTTACGCGAGTACTTAATATCGCGAAATGGCTAAAGGGCATCAAATCGCGAGAAAAATAATTCGCGAATGGGTGATTTATCTAGAGATTTTACATACATTAAAGCACCATAAAAATAAAAGTGAGTAATTTTATTTCGTGAGTGGTGCTTCTTGCGTAATTACGTGATAATTTATTCCTCGCGTATTTTTAGGAATCTACAGTAATCTCTTAAAAGTCCAAGCTTATTCAAGTTAGATACTGTAAACCAACTATTATTCGTGTCATCTTTTATTCGCGATTCGTCCGATTGAAATCAGTCCAAGACTATTGATTTTTGCGACTTGGGAAACATTCTCAAAAAATACAAAGCAAAATGAATGGTTCGCGGCGATTAATATTCGCAAGTTGGAGTACATTGCAAAACTCACGAATATTTCTCACATGCAAAACAAAGTTGGTTTACAGTAATTAGATGTGAATCTCTTCAAAATGAACAGGTAAGTAGATGCATGTATCTTTTCTAAACAACCAAACCAGCTTCAGTCAGGTAGGTATTTACCACTATCTTCTTACCTTCCCAGCTTCAGTTGGGTAAGTAAATGAGAATCTCTTCTCTTTTACTGTCAGCTTTTAAGATACCAAATCAATATGTTGACCTGAGTAAAATTTAAAAAATTTTATTGCATCCAATATGTATTTGATGAGGAAGATTTCTGCACTTCATTTTGATTAATTTGAACATCTGTTCAATGGAGTTTCATTTTTCTTATTTAAAGAACTGCGAACGATAGTATTGTTCTCCCGCCTACCTCCAGGTCAATTTTCAAAAGTTAACATATTTGAATGATTTTTCATTTCTATATAGACCCATACCAAAAAAAAGTACAGATTAGGCATGCCTATCTTGGGTAAAAATAGGTACAAAAAAAGCATGCCTAAGGTATGCAAGTTTGGAACCACTTGTTCAAGTATAGGTAGCAAATTGGTACAAAATAGGCATACCTAAAGTATACCTATATTTATTAATAGGCACACTTTAGGTATCAAAAATGCACAATATTGGCACACGATCAGATAGGTACCTTCTAGGCATACCTACAATGTGCCTATAAATATACCTAAAAGGTACCTTCAAGAATGTGCCAAAAGTATACCTAAAGTATGCCTACAGTTTAGGTACCAAAAAAGCACAATATTGGCACACATCTCAAACATTCAAGAATGTGCCAAAAGTATACCTAAAGTATACCTACAGTTTAGGTACCAAAAAAGCACAATATTGGTACACACCTCAAACATTCAGATGAGTACCCTTTAGGTATACCTAAAATGTACCTACAAGTCTACCTAAAGTATGCCTACCAATTTGGTACTCAAGAGTCTGTGCCAAAAGTATACTTAAGGTATGCCTATAATGTACCTATCAAATAGGCACGTTTGAGGCAGGCCTATGTAAAAGAAAAATTGATTTAAACAATAATAATTATGGAAAAAATAAAAATTTATTGCATGATAGTACATCAAAATATATGAAAAACACTTCTTTAAAAAGTCATCTCTATAAATACAATCTATACCTAAAATCCCAAATATTTAATTAATCAAATCCCTAACATTTAATTAATTTAGATTAATATGGTTAATGATATCAAGATAATGATATTTTAAACTTTCTTAATAAGAAAAAATAAAAGAAATAAATAGACATACCTTTTTAGGCATATACATAAGTTAGTTTAAATACACAAAGTCAAAAGTATACTCCATTTCATGTCAATTTTATCCCCCATGAATTGTTCACTTGTAATTCACGTAATCTTCATTATCTTTATAGAGTTCCTATCCATCACAGAATTTTCTACCAGCACACCTTGTTAGTCTTCATTGCTTTACAGTTGCGGTTTCCATCTGGACTCTAAAAACACTGATCCTCCATTTGAATATGCTACGCAATTTCGGCTTTCAGTTTCATGTCATTTTCTTTCAATTCTGAAAAAGTTCAATTATTATTATGTTGCTCTTCACCAGGGACCTAGTATATAGGTCCCTATCTTCACTTACTTAGTTACATTTTATGCTGAAATATTTTTAAGCATATTTAGTAGATGAAATCCCTATAGTTTGCATTGGAGTTTGATGAGCAGTGTCTTGTTATATTCTTATACATTTACTCATTTTTTACAAAAATCAGATTAGATCTTATACTTACTGATAAAGTTATAGTTTTAATGCATTTCCCTCCAGCTTGGAATTTAAATGACCACAGGAGACAAGTATTCTGTTGAAAAAAAAGAATAAGTTTGTTCATGAAATTATCTGGCATTAATATTGACCAACACACATGCACACACTATGTTTGAATTATTGAAACATTACACTCTGAATTAAATGATGTGTCTAATATTACCCCCCCCCCCCCCCCCAGGTATGGAAGTGGAGAGCTTGGGGATTAGATGATCAGAAATTTATGCACAACTTATATAAATATAAAATTTATTATGTTTTATTATGCTGGATAAAGGTTGTAAATTTTGCTTGATTCATTAAAAATTTTTTACCCCCCCCCCCCTTTTTAAAACAAAGATCTTTATCTTATATTTCAAAGACCCTATTACAATAATTTTATCTCACACAGTTCATTTGGATTTCATTTGTTATTATCGTCATGCTCATGCAGAGGCTACTGTAAGTAACTGTTCCCAGATATTGACACATTTCATATCTTTATATTTTAAGAAAAGACTGTAAATTACATTTTTTTTTTTTACAAAAGTCTTGTGATACATCATGTTAAAGAAAGAGATTATGCTTAAGTACATTTACTTCATGTGTAGCACTGCCATCTTGAATCAAAACAAACCAGAAATCTACGATACAAATACCTAGAATATCGCGAAATCTACACTTGATATTCATATTCTAATGCATTCTCTAAGTGGATAAATGCATTTACAACAAGCAGCAACAAAATTTAAACTGAAATAAAGACTCACCGACTAATAAGTCTCTGATTTCTTCTTGAAATTTTCATCACAGCAAATTTTCAAATCGTCTCTGAAATATCCGCGCTGTCGCTGACCAATCATAGACTTCGCAGGAGTCACGTGATTTTAAAAACGTTTGTTAAATTATTCATGAAATAGTTCGTGTAAACAATAAAAAATTATAACAATGCATATTTAACAACTGTTACATGGCGTCAACTTTATTAAAAAGCCGATTAGTATGAATTCCTTGAAATATAGCGTCCCTAATTGGGTAAATAATCGGGACCGCCATTTTGGACGCCATTTTGTGTTATAATCGGGGTCGCCATTCTGATTTCACATAACTTCTTTTTTTTAAAAATTACATGTGAAATTGATTAAATTTATTGATTTACAACAAATTCTTTATGTACTAGACCTCAGCTAAAATCTTAATGTAACTGGCACTCTACGTACATTCCCAAACATCGAAATGAAGTGTCACTACATGAACCCTGTAAAATATACACATCATGTTTACATACTATGTGTATGGTAAATCAAACAATAAGGACAGGTCTTTTGAACTCCTTGAAGGCTATTATTTATATTAAATTTCAAGCCTGATTCGTAAATGTGACACTATTCTTTACTGCTACTACTTTACTATCAGTTATAGTTTAAAACAAATTTCATAAATATCTTGTTTTTATTTCATTTTATTATTTTTTCTTTTGTTTATTTACCTATTATGATTGAGCTGTAGACTTCAAATCAGCCCTTTGTGATTGAAGAACTGCACGTGATACACGAGCCAAAATTTCTGCAGTGTAAGCTATAAAGGTCACCTAGTACAAACACCTGTGTCACTGAAGAACACTGGAAATCAACATCGTTTTGCATACAAAGATCGTTTTGCATACAAAGAAAAATGAAGTCTATTTTAAAATATCACTGGAATGCTGGATATAAATAAATTCCCACTCTCTATATAAGTAAATTTAAACATCCCTAACATTTCTGTATTTCACCAGAGAGAGAGAGAGAGAAAGAGAGAGAGATGTCCTAATTTTGATATCATTTAATAGACTGTAACACAAGGTATTATTGATTTTAATACACTTTTTTCTGTTAAACTGGGCAATTCAGATGGTCAAAATATTGGTATTTATAATTATACTGTGTTTATAAGACACCCCCCTCCTTTGTTTCATAACATGTAAAACAAAATTACTAAGAACCCTGTAGGGTAGAGGTGGTTTTTAAAGAACAAAAATGGATCTTTTATTTGCCATAAAAAATTGAATTGAATTGATAATTATATATATATATTTGGCATTTGATTAACAAAATTACCCCCCTTTTTTCCTTCCCCCAACACAGTAGACATTATGCTTGCATTAATGAACTGAAAATCTTAAGTATAATATAATTAATAATCAAATGAACAAAAATTGTTGAATAATAATTTTCTAAAAAAAAAAGAAATAATGGATAAAAAGTGGCTTTTATTCTAACCCCCCCCCCCCCACACACACACACACACAAATGACACATCCTAAATGTCATGATATAATTGTATTACTATAAAAGTATAATTTCAGTTGTTATTAATTATTGATTCACTTGTTTGAGTTTTCATTTTTCTCTGATTGAAAAACATGATTCTATTTAAATATTATCACAAATAGGTGCCCATGTTGAAAAAATCAGTTTTAAGTTACAAAGATGCAATAAATGTGACAGTCCAATTTAGTGTAGAAATAACATTGAAAAATGACAAAGTCTTGAATTAAGTTTTACTTAAATTCAAACATGACTGTCAATTTTAGGTACAAAAAGTTGTATATTCTAAAAGTTTACTCATCCTCAAGGTACAAAATTTAAAGAAAAGATATATGGAAATGTTAATATTTTTGGTATGGGTAAGTAGACGAAAATACTGTGAAATGACTAAGTCTTTTATAGGTACTAATCAGGCACATTGAAAAATGACAAAGTCCAATGTAGGTACATTTCAGGCACACTAGAAAATGACTAAGTCCAATGTAGGTATATTTTAGGTACACTGGAAAATATTTAAGTCCAATATAGGTACATTTCAGGCACACTGAAAAATGACAAAGTTCAATATAGGTACATTTCAGGCACACTGAAAAATGACAAAGTCCAAAGTAGGTACATTTTAGGTACATTGGAAAAAAATTAAGTTCATTATTGGCACAGAATAGGTATGCCTTTTCTGTACCTATATTAGTAGGCACACTTTAGGTACTGAATAAGCACAAAAAAGGCATGCCTATATGTACCTTTTTTTTGTATGGGGATATTTATATGAATTTTCATAAAACATTACTTTTTTGGGAAAACAAAGAGAGATAACTCTGTAATATGGGTAAAACTTGTGTTTTCACCATAGAAATCAACGGAAAATGGAAAATATTTTTAAAACATCCCCCCCCCCCCGTGAAACAAAAATTCCTTTTTATAGGTAATATGGACTGTCATTTCACAAAATCATACCAAAGCTTTTTGTGTTTCAGGGAGGGGGGGGGGACATACGTTTACAGACAAAAAACTACAAAAATGCTTATTTTTTCATCAATATCAAAGGGGTTTACAACTAAAACATTGTATTTTGTTAATAATAAACGTTTAATTTTATATGAGTAAAACATAAGAAAAGTTTTAAGGAACATTTATTCATATACAGTAATATTTTAAAATGTGGTGATGCTTTAAAGCCCGATTTCAATGAAAAATATCGTCCACCCCCCCACCCCCACCCCCCTTATTCAAAGAGGTGGAATTTGGGGTAATTAACTATTTAACACTGGTATTAAAATTATCAGTCAATTACCATGGAACTGTTCTTTGCATTCAACAAAGATTTTATGGTCAAATTGCCATTAGTAATTTATTAAATGGGTGTAAAATGTAGGTGGGAATCAAGAGTTAGCGTGCGTAGTTCTTCATTCTTTAAAAAAAATATCTGGAGAAAATTAGCAAACCAAAAAGATGAAAAGGTGATGATTTATTTATTTATCAGTTTTTTGGTTTTGTTTTTAGGGAAGTTATTCTTCACAAGTTGCAACTTCCACAAGCAGTGTTTTCGGAATTGCCATCGGAAGTGTAGCAGTATTTGTCATTATTATTGTTGCTATTGTCATGTTGCGGAAGCGCTCCCATAGACACGCAGTCACTCATGGATTTGCTGAAATGGATCCAGCAGCCTCGCCAGAAGAACGTCATGTGGCTAAAATGCAGATGAATGGTTATGAAAATCCTACCTACAAATACTTTGAACTGAATACCAATGTCAAGAAATAAAAACCTCAGAAACTGTTCCAAAAACTTACAAATTTATAAACAAATTCATTCCACTGAGTGTAACTCTTATTTGCAGGGTGAAGCCTTTACTGTTGTGAACAAAAACTGTGATTTCATTGATAAGATGGTGATTGTATGAAATTTGGATAACATACTCATTACAAAGTAAATAACAGGTTATAATCTACAAAATTAAAAGACAAGGTAGTGATTGTACAGATGTATTTATTATACAGTGTTTGTATATAACACCACTTTGCATTATATGTGTCCCTAATCATTCTTTGTTAATGTAGAATATCATTGTAAATGGAACTTTTTGTAGCATTTGAATGATTCTGTACTGTAGCCACTGTACCACTACTTATAAACCATGTAAGTATTTGTAACTATACCATTTATTCATTTGTGTTGTCCTGAAGTGGAAACCATTCCATACCGAGATGTGGAGATTTAGAGTCTCACAAAGATCCCCTAAAGCAATAATTGAGAACAAGAATCATGGGGAAGAAAGAATTAAGTTAGTAATCATCAATTAGAATTGTAGGGTTGGGATAAAGAATGCACACCAATTCATAACCTTGATAATATTGGAACTGTGTATAGACTGCTTTTTTAGCTGATGGTGTTTTATTGTTTTATATTTTTAAAATGTCTTCATAAGATGATATGAATTTCATAATACATGTCTAACATTTTTATGTGCAGTTGTTGTGAAATGCTTTTTTGTTATATTTGCAGTTTTTAATTTTTTAATTTTTTTTTTTTTCGACACTTGAGCAGGCATTATTTTTTTTTTTAGACAAGATTTATATATTTATGATTGCATAATTAGGGAATCCAAAATTTAGTCAAATGAAAATGTACTTACAATTTTTTTAACTTTCTTAATTATATAAAATTCAAAGAATTGTAGTCAAAACCAAAGACGTAGCTTAAAATCACATACCTTACTCAATGTATTCGCCATTCAAATATGAGCTTGCTTTGGCATATACTAGTTAAACAAGTTTCTATAAGAAAAACTCTCATTGATGTTATAGTCTCTTTCTTTTAGTATAAACTGCTGCTCTGATCACTCTGTTTAATATATTGTGATCCCATTGAGGTAGTTTGTAGAGAAAATTCGGATTGCATTCTTTTCTAGAAATTATCTCTGTACTGTGTGGAAGAGATTATGATCATCATGCTGCTAAATTTTGTATGAGTGTACAAGCTTTCTTTACCAGAAGATTCCATCTTTACTGCCTTTTCCTTCCAGTAAACCAAGTCTGAACCTCTCTTCCTCTACCAAGAAATCTGTTCTTTGAAAACTTCCCGGCCAGTAGCTTGATGGTTGTATTGTGACTTCATGTAATGTTTAATACTGTGACCTCTATCATTTTATAAATAAAACTGTACACTCATTTATTATTTAGTCATTTTATTTTGTTATGGTTACTCACAAATGATTTAAAATCCTGATGGTTTTGCAAACACTCGCTTGTTTCACATGAAACATTATGTCCATGTTAATCTGCCAAGTTTTAAGGTACTGATCTGTGAATTTGGAAACCATTTTAGTGCCAAGATGATTTATTTTCAAGGCTAACTCAACAGTAATGTGATGTGTCCCATTGGAAGGATATGCTGGTACATGTAGATGTACAGGAAAGTACTGCTTGTCAGTTTTCTTCTGGATTGTTGAATGTGTTCAAACTGAAGTAAAGAAGAGTATAGGTTATGAAAATGTATTTTTGAATAAAAAACAAAAATATTTTTTAGCCAATAGATATTGTAAGGAAAGTGTTTAAAAGGTAAACCTTTGAAGCTGGCGGAAATGGTCATGTTCTTCCTCGGTGGTGAAGTTGTCAAACCCTGTGCAGGAAGAGAAAAAGGAGAAAATAAGTTCTCTTCCTAAGAACAGCATGTATGAAAACGTGTTGCATTTATATTCTTCAAATTAATTTTATTATATACTAAAAAGGTGCTTTGAAGTTCTAGTGGACTTTTCTTAACGATTCGAAGTATCTCGCTGTACAGATCTCATCTGTGTAGAAGTCTTTTTACATCGACATTGTTTCTATACGATAACGATCATCAAATGTATGCAACTATACAACGTCAGAAGAAAAAGTAACCTCAATTGCACAGATAAGTGCATTACGAACAAACAATGGTGAAATAAAAATGTAAACGGTAAGACAACACAAGAATGCCACACGTTGGCCATGACTTCCAGTTTGCAATCAGGTGTAACGAATGTGAAGGGTATATACCCAGAGATGATATATGAGATGGGAAAAAAATGTATGCAATTTACGAGTCGTGTTAAGCTTTAATAAAAGATTAAAAAAAAAAACAAAAAAAACGGTAAGTGAAAATTGTGTCAAAAATGATATCAACTCGAAGAGAGGGAGAGCTCCTTATTATGCAGGACTACGTGGAAGCATTTCAAAAATGAAATGTCCTCAGTACTTACCATGATAATGAACGCAATAATGCAGTATTACCAGATAAGCTAAAACGGGAAAATCAATACGTGTACTCAGATATCTAAAACATCAAAATTTATATCGAAGCATAGCTTTGATTTACCTACACATCTCAAGGACATCTAGTAACCAATTTGCTTAAATCACTTAGTTTTTAATTCTATTCTGGAAATCCTATTGATATTCCCACATTTTACTTTTCTAAGGATGAAATTCCTGAAAAACCACGCCCCAATTTTGATATTCCAAACAACGGAAGTGAAAAACGATTTACCCTACCTATACTGGATTCTAAAACTTCATGAAAGTCCTTACAAAGATACATGCAGGTTATCTGCTCTACCTAGCCCCTATTATTACTCCTCACAAAAATATTCACTGATGTAAAAGAGAAACTTCACACTCATTATGCTACAACATATTCATGAAGTGTAAATCAAATATGGATTTTCAAAAACTCCTACAAACTTTTAAACTTTTAAAAATTTTAAAATCGCAATTTTTTAAGACAGTTACATCAAAGCGTATGATTTTTCAACACTTTATACAAACATTCCTCACGATTAAATTAAAGATTAAACTTTCTTGAAGAAAAATGAAATTTAGGAATTTCTTCTCTTGTGACTGATTATTAGAAATTATAGTTAAAAATCATTTTGACATATATACCCTGAGTTTGATACTAAAAAGATGCCTGAGTTCATCCGATAATATCTATTTAGTCTTTAGAGATCGTGTCTTCCAACATTCTGTTGGATTTTCACTGGGAACTTATTGTGCGCCTTTAATAGAAGACCTGTTTTTATATTCCTGTGAAGCAGGCTTCATTCAAAACTTCCGCACGAGAACAAGAAAGATCCTGCTTTCAACCCCACATTTAGATTTATCGACAAAGTTTTATCAATTAAATAAAGTTGTTTACTCCATGTATCACGGTGAACTCGAAATAAAAGACACTACAGAGTTCGCAACATCTGTTTCACATTTGGATGATAGACGATAATGGCCAACTAACAATTGAACTATATGACAAACGAGATGATCACTTTTCAGGCGCGTAGCCAGAATAGAAATGATGTGTACGCAGAGAACGGCAGGGGGTTGGGTGGGGGGTCTTGAGCCCCCCCCCCCCCCCCAGTGTTTAAGGGCTCTGGTCAGGCACGTAATATAGCTTTTGCCAGCCAGGAAAAAATTACAACTTTAAAAATTTTGTCAAGCAACGACGAAAAAGGAAGATTGTCAAAATTCGAAGTCCTATTTATTGTGTGTGTGTGTGTTTGTTAAAGGGGGGGGGGGAGGGGAGGGGTGTCCATCTTTCACAAACCAAATTTTTATTAATACATTACCAAATTACCATGATTTAACAATGGTGCAACAAACAGTGGGGGTCCACCCTTTCAACGTACTTTTTTTTCAATAGTAAAAGGTTAGGTTTTGGGAATAAGTATAGTGGGGAGGCTCCCCTAATACTACGCGCCTGCTAGTGAGGGCCCAGAAGCTCTTTAGTTTTACCAAATATATCATTCATTTTCTTGAAATATAAAAATTATGCCATTTAGTTTTTGTTTAGGAAATAAAAGATATAGTAATATTTATTGTTTTAACGAAAATTAATATTCCATGGAAACTTATTGTATATATAATTGAGGCTAAAAATTTAACCGATATATTAATTGGTATCATATAATCATTCTTAACGTTTAAAAACACGTATACAAAGTTTTAATTATGAACAAAAAATGTCGTATTGTAAATCATACTAGTAGATCATAGCATTCAACGATGTGGCTGAAATTTGATTTTTCAAAGATCTTTAAAAAAAATATTAATGTATGATAGAACAATGACAAAATAATAAATGATTTATCTGGATTTGTCAGTTATTAAATAAAAGATTTCAAATTTTATCATACAGCCATGATAATTTAAAATTTAAATCGACACAGTATGACACAGAATAATTTGAAACACGAATATCTGTTGGATGGTACTGATATTTTTCTCTCCGAATAATTCTCTCTTTTTTCTTTTCTATTTTTTTCCTGAAAATGATGTGTACGCACTTGCGTATTTGCGTATAGGCAGCTACGCGCCTGCTTTTCTATGAAATGTGAAGATAACGAACAGTAACCATGTTGTAAAGTCCAATAAAACAACACAAGTCGTGAGGAGAGCAAACACGAACTTCTGAAAACATTAGAGGTGGGATCATCTGCCATGGAGGGAAGGAGTAAGCATCCCCTGTAGAGTAAGCATCCCCTGCTGTGTGCCTTTTGTCATGACCGGGTAAAAGGGGAAATCCAAAGTCAATTAAATATGGAAAAAAATGGCCTAACAATATTTATATGAAAGACTTCAGTCAACATTCGACCTAAGGAAAACATGGTCATTGTTTCGACCATAGAATTTTCGAAATGTTGACTGTAAATGGGATTGTAGATACCCTTGTATCATCAACTTACTTGTCAGCATTCTGCCTTGGTTTAGAAGTTGAGCTTCTGTATCAAATCAGTTTGGAGAAATAAGCCCCATATGCAGGTGACAATGGTATATTGCTTCATCAATAGGGGAAGTTGACGATAGAAAAGTTGAAGTTCACGTTTATCATAAAATTTAGTTGTTAGTTTTCTACTCAAATATCCAAATATGAAGCAGATGTGCAAGACTCCGCAGGATCTCGTTTATTTCAAATTCAATTGGATATATCGAATCAACGTATTTAAAAAAAAATGAGGAGACAGAATTGTTCATTAATTATGTATTATAAACGTTCACCGATATATCTTAATGTCCAGTTGATTGACTGTATGTTGTTTAATGTCCCATTCAAGATTTTTTTCACTCATAAAGAGAGTCCCATATGCCGGTGAAGGGCTTAAAATTTAGACCTATACTCTGACTTACAGCCATTGAGCAGTAAGTACTAATATTCTTTTTATCATGCCAACACCTACCGTGACCTGGGACCTCGATCGGTTTATAAGGTCTCATCCGAAAAACCCGTAACTTTCACTTCTAACGCCGGACGCTTGGCGAAGGAACAATCACAGCCTATGTTAATGTCTTAGGTTTGACGCGGCGCTGGGAACGAGAATCAAACACGGTACCTCCCGATCACACAGCATACCTACCACTAGGATAATGCGGCCGGTTATGTTGAATTGAAGGCTTTTCTTTTCATGTAAAGTTTTTGAATTAATTCTCATACAAAAATGGGTCCGCCAGTAATGGGGCACAATTAGACCCATAAGAATTCTAACACATTTGAAAACCTTGCCCAAGGGTCATGAAGCAGCCTTAGACTTCAGTCAAAATTTCAGTCATTCATATTGATAGGAACTGATTTTTGAAAATTAAAATTAACAGCATGAAAGAGAATTAATAACATTTCAAACTTCATGTGATTTCTATCATAAATATCTAAGATAATTTACAAATTCTGGCTTAAGTCTAAGACTGCCTAATGATCCTAGGGCCTGATCTCCAAAGACTAGATAAATGTTGTCAATGAGGAACTAAAAAAAAAATTTAATATTAGCTTTAGAGTACTTGTGTGTAGAATCAGGATGTTCTTTTCAAACTGTTGACAATACAACTTACGTTATTTAGATATATCAAAGGAAAAATTAAGAGATTGAGCAAGAAAAAGGGCAAAACTATCTATTATGTACAAACGCTTTAACAATGGTTTTCTACATTTCTTTTGTGAAATGAATATGGGACCAACAATAGGAACTTTCAACATAACATCACCGACTTTTGCAGATTGTTAGAAAAATCCCTTTCAAACGTGCAATCGCTTACACCCACAGTAAATGAACATACAATGAGATGGAATGACATTTGGGTGGATCAGGTAGTCCATTTAGGAACACAGCCAAATTGAGACAATGTCCATGATATATACACACAGAGAGAGAGAGAGAGAGAGAGAGAGAGAGAGAGAGAGAAAGCACAAAGAAATTCACATTTTATAAGGATACCCACTTCCGCCTCCGCCCGGGGTTGAACTCTCGACCTACGGAATCTGTCTCCTAGCAGTACGTACAGGAACAGCGCGCTAGACTGCTCGGCTATCTAGGCAAGTCTTAAAACTTGCTTTCGATGCCGATGGAATTCTCGCGGCGCCGCCCTACACTTTACAATCATTGAGAATGGAAATGAGATACACTTATATATTTGAACATTAGTTTTATTAGAGGATCGTTACCGATACACATAGACAGGAAAACTGACAGAAAACAAGTAGACTTACAACAAAGAAAGAACTTTAGGATGCTACAGTTACTACCAGATATTACAGTAATATCAACAGCATACTTATTATAGGAAAAAAATACTAAAAGAAATAATGATAGATAAACGATATCTCTCAGCTTTTCA